CAAAAGAATCCTGTGTGTTTTGAATAGTACTTATTTATTAATTTCTCTTGGTAGAAACCAGTATTGTGCGTATGTAGTGTCCAGATGTCTGCATGGTGATGTGACCTTTAATCCGGAAGGTCTTTATCTGTTTATACCAGCATTGAATGAGATTCCACATACTTAACCATGCACATTGTTGCCAAGTCTTCCTTTATTCTTGACCTTAAGGTTTCTTAAAGATCAGCTTTTTCTCTTAGCCACTCTTGTGGTTCCTTGCAGGAACTCTCTTAGCCTGTCTGCCTACACACAATACTCAACTGTTTTTATTCTGTGGTCCTGACACTACATTGATAGTGGGGACATTGATTCTGTTGTTATTACATCCCTTACACTGATTTGGGGCTCTGATATTCCCCCTCTTTACTGGGATTCAATTGGAGAGACGTAGTCACAGTATATCTGGTTCTTTCTTTGGAGCTGTAATAGGTACTGATTATTTTAACTTCAAATAACAAAAATCCTAATTAACAGTGGTAAAAACAATTAATTATCTCACCCAACAAGAGAAATGGAGATGCAGGTGAGTACTGGCATAGCAGCTTAACTCTATAACCAAGAATTCATCTTCCTGATATATTTCTACTTCATTACCCTTACTGTTGGCTTTTCTCATTGTATCTGTCACCCTTGTGCTTCTCATGTTCACACAATTGATTGCCACAACTCCAGGTGTCATATCCATGGTTAAGATGGGGGAAAAGGAGTAGTATCAATTAGGCTCTATTTTATGAGAAAAACAAAAGCTTTCTCAGAAGCTTCCCCAGGAAATTTCTCTTACACCACATTGTCCGGAACCATACCATACATGCCAAGATCTATGTCTAGAATTAGCAAGTGAGACTAGAAAAGTAAGTATTTGGACTTTAATCCTTTATAGTTGAATGCTGCAAGGAAATTGGGGGTTAAGAATGTTCTTGGGCTATCCAACTACCAATATCTGGCTTAAGGACTTGTGAATATCTAAGTTCTCATTTTTCTTCTCTCTTGATTCCCCATAATTCCACGAAATTTTATATAGTCTTTCTAGGACAGATATTGAGTTGGCTTATTCAATATCCATTTCCAATAATTTTTTTCATTGCTTTCTACTAATCTATAGGTTAAGAATATGTAAATGCTTTATTTCTCAGCTTCTCTTGCTTTTAAGGGTGGTCATGTGACCTGGTTCTAGGCAGTCTGTTGTGTATGTGGCTTCTCTCTCTCCCTTTCCCCACCTCCCTCCAAAACAGGGACAAACACCAGAGAAAGCTTTTTATCTTTGTTATTCTCCTCTTTTCCTGTATGGAACATAGCCTTGATGCCTGGAGGTGCAGCTACCATCTTGGAGCAAAATAAGGACAACAAGATGATGGAACCAAAAGAATGAATCTGGGACATAATAACACAGTGGAGCCCCTGCATCAGACCTGAAGAGTCTGCCTGTGAACTTTTCATAGGAGACTAATATATTCCTACCTATTTAAAACAATGATAGAGTTTTCTGCTACTTGCAGCCAAATGTAATCCTAACTTATATAGGTGAGAAACCATGTTTTTATATCATGTAGTTCTCCCAAATGTATTGTCTTTGCCAGAGCTGTCCCCATTCTCCTTAAAAGTCCTGATTTTCAAAATTCAAAACCAAGAAAACAATCTATTTTCTTTAACATTTTTAGGTATCATAAAATAATGCCACACAGTTTATTAAAATGGTGAAAGGATATATAAGGTACAAGGAAATTATAGGGGGGAATGTCTTGATAATTATAAAACATATCTTACCATACTTTTAGGTACACAAAATCACATCCAAACTAGGCCAAGGCACACAGGGAATTTACTGGATGGCTGCAGGTAGATCTCATGGATCTACGAATAGGAAGTATAGCTGAACCTCACTATGGATTAGAACCAGGAATTGGAAAGCTATTATGAATCAGTGTAGTAGTGGTTCTCCCCTCCTTCTCTGCACACACAATTTCTGATGGTCTGCTTTATTCTTCTCTCTTGGCATTATCTTTTTCCGCTTCTCTGTGCACAAAGAAGAAATTAGTCACTTCAGTCTTACCAGTTCCAATGCAAATTAAGATTAACATCTCTTGTTTTAAAAGTTTTCTGGAGAAAGAATCTAATTGGTCCAATTTTGTTTGTGTGTCCATCTTTAACCCAATTAATGATCAAGGGGATAGGGCCAAATGGCTTAGAAATTCTTAGGAGCTAAGGGAGAATATTCTTTTGAGAAGGAGCCGTGTGTATGTGTGTATGTGTGTGTGTGTGTGTTTGTGTGTGTGTGTGTAGCAGTAGTAAGAAATAATGGACATCTTTTCCATTCTGCTGATATCCTATTATGAAAGGTAAATCAAATTAATGATTTATTCATTCTACAAACATTGATATTACTTGTTCCTTCCTTTACTTTCTCTCTCAGAGGATGTCAGTACCATTTATCTCATTGCCCATATCATAAATCTTTACATAACCAATATCATTACAATAGCTAACATTTATTGCGAATATGTACTTTGCGATAGGTATTCTACATGCTTTATTTTATTAATTGATTTTCTACATGCATTATTTTAAATTTAACCTTGCAACATCCCTACAAGTAGGTATTATCTATTTTATAAGGAAACATGTCTCTTGGATTATTACAGTAACCTTCTATCTCCCTAACTCTGGTCACACCTCTCACAACCATTTTTTTTAAACCTGGTATTCAGTAGTATTTCTAAAATATAAATATAATTACATTATTTTATCACTTTAAACCTTCTGTGGTTCCCTTAGGATAAAGTCCAAATTCCTTTGAGTGATATATAAAGTCTTTTATGATCTACACACCCTTCCCATCTTTGCCATCTTCCGTCCTCATCTCTCTGAGACCTGCACCTCACACTCTGCAAGCCATGAAGATTATTTGAAATTCTTACCAGTTCATTTCTTATCTCTGTACAACCCTCTAGCTATTCTCAGAGCTGATGCCTACACATTACCCACACTCAGGATTCAGCTTAGATGTTACCCTATCCAGAAGCCTTCTTGAATGAATTAAGGTGCCCTTTCTTTGTAATTCTCTATTTCTCAGTGCTTTCTTCCTATACTTATTACACCATGTTGAATTATTATTCTGTCTCTCACACTTGTTGGTAAAGTTCTTGAGTGGAGGGATTATATCTGATAATCCCTATTATCAGACCGTTGGGTGACCATAACACCATAGGGTGTTGAAAACCCTATGATTAGCGCATTGCTTGGTGTATTGTAGTTGCTCAGCAAATATTTGTTAAATGAATATATCTTCATAAGTCTAGAAGAATTTGAAAAGCTACCTGGACACAAACAAATACTCAGCATTTCTTGTTTAGTGAATGGAGTATTCTGATAGCCATTCTCCTTATCCCTATTCTTTTGGCTTATGATTTATAAAAATTGAGCAGATAAAATTGATAAAATTAACTGAGAAAACATTGCAAAATAAGAAAGTGATAAGGCAAAGGAAGTAATAATGTGAGATTAGGGGAGAAAAAGCAAAGAACTGATTTTTTTCCCAGAGCTTATTTAATTCAATGTACTGGGGATCCCTGGGTGGCTCAGCGGTTTAGCGCCTGCCTTTGGCCCAGGGCACGATCCTGGAGACCCGGGATCGAGTCCCGCGTTGGGCTCCCTGCATGGAGCCTGCTTCTTCCTCCTCCTGTGTCTCTGCCTCTCTCTCTCTCTCTCTCTCTCTGTGTCTATCATGAATAAATAAATCTTTAAAAAAATTAATTCAATGTACTTGTTGGTAAAATCTAATCCTTACAATAATTGTTTGAGATTGAGATGTTATGCCTGTAGTAAAGTCAGGAAAATTAAAGACCAGATTAGAGCAAAATAAACTGAATGATTTATACAACAAATTCTCTACAGAGAAGAAGCAAATAAAAGAAATTAAAATCAACTTTAGAAAATATCATAAAGAATACGTGAGAATAAGCCAACCTGCGCCCTAATTGATTCTTTTGCTGGGTCTGGGTTTCTTTATCAGCCTTCTAGCGTCTTCTTTCACAGCTGCTTCCCTCCCTCTCATCCACTTTGGATCTAGGAATACTTCATTCCTCATACCAAAATAAATTCCACCTTCTTCCTCAAGCTTTGTCTCACTTAACTTTCTTCTTGAGCGAAACTTGCTTCTTTAGACCTGCTTTCTTATTTAGCTAAACTTTTTCGAGCCCAGCAAAGCACCTGACTTTTCTTTCAGGGAACTGTAAGCAACACAGCAGTAAATATCAATACATACTATTATTGTAGATCACGCCGGGGGTAAAAAAAAAAAAAAAAAAAGAAAAAAAAGAAAAAAAAAGGTAAAATCCTTAACACGGAGACTATTTAAGATACCGTATTCTTCGCAATGAGAACACCTGGAGTCATTTTCAAGTTCTACAATTTCCTACTTCTTTCCAGTTGAGTCAAGTCTCTAAGCTTTAAGTCTCTTGTCAATACTGAAAAGAGAATACCGTTAAGAGTCTCCTATCTACCTACTCGAGGATTTCTGCGAGGACTAAACAGATGAGGTATGTGGAAAACGCTTCACAAACGTTTGGTTAAACTTTGTAAAAGCTCTGTACCTGGCTACGAACGACACCGCATGAACAAGCCGGGTTCCCGGGCTGAGGAAACGCACGGCGGCTGGTCTCTAGGGAGAGGAAGCCAAGCGTTACTACGTGACGTCATCACCCCGCGCCGGCCGCGACGGCTTCCGGGCTGGGCTTAAAGCTATGTTCCGCGCTATGGGGTGTTGGCAGCGTTTGCTGCTTTTTGGTGGGGTAACGCTTCGGGGTGGTGGCGGGGCCGGCGTCCCGCTTGGGGGAAGCCGAGTGTTGGTTTGTGGGCGCCAGGTTCGTGGTGCTGCAGGCCGGGGGGAGGCGGGGGGGTGGGGCGGAGATGCGAGGGCGGCAGGGCCGCAGGTGCGCAGGCATCACCTCCTGGCGAGCGCTCGCCTCAGACCTTAACGGGCCCCCGCCAGCCGGCGGCAAAGCGAGACCCCAGTCGTCTGGACGTCTCCACTTTCCAAGCAGGCCCCCATAGGACCAGGCCGGGGCGTGGCGGGCATGACGGATGCCTAGAACGTGGATGTGAGACTTGCGCATTGCTTTCTCTATTTAGAAAATGGGTTAAAGAGAAGGAAACACGTGGAGGATTTAACTCCGTAAAGAGGCAGTTTATTTACTTTGCTTTTTTTTTTTTTTAACGTCCTGGCAGATAAATTTCAGCTTAAACAGTGTTATTTCCACGACTGTGATCAATAGCAGTAAGTAGATAGCACGAAAGACCTACCTAATGGAGATCAGCAGCATTAGCCTAGAAAAGCAAGCCCTTTTCAAGACTCTGATTTTTTTTACTTTAACAGCATGCTAATAGTGATGGCTTATTTTAAAACTTTTTTTTTTTTTAAAGTTGTCTGGAGCTGACAGTGAGGCCCTAAAACAAAGAAGAACACAAATCATGTCCCGAGGACTTCCAAAGCAGAAACCAATAGAAGGTGTAAAGCAAGTTATAGTTGTGGCTTCTGGAAAAGGTGGAGTTGGAAAGTCTACTACAGCAGGTATTATAGGATATTCTGATCTCAGGAATTTATGCCAACTGGAAGGTGCACAGCATTAAAAGGATAGTTTTGATTTTTAGAGTTATTTGTGAAATTCCCAATCGCTGATTCCGTGGTATCAGGAGTTAGTAGTGATGAGGAGCTTAGATTTACAGTTCAAAAAAACTAGGTAGAGATGGCCCAGGTCTTTGACCCCTTAACTGAGGAAAAGGTGGTCACATTGCCCATCAGATCTTCAGTTTACTTAACTGTGAAATGGTAATGATGATAAGGTTTTTCATAGGGTGGGCATGTAAATTAAACAAAGAGGAACACGGGAGGGGGCAGGGGGGAAGGACAGAGAGTAGCCTTAAGCAGGTTGCCTGCTGGGCGTGGAGCCGGATCCTGCGTTCTATCCCAGAACCGCAAGATCATGACCCAAGCCCAGATCCAGAGCTGGCTGCTTAACCGGCGGCTACTCACGTGCCCCAGAAATTTTTTATTTCTAGGAAGATGGTTCCAGTGTAATTATGTAAAAGGGTAATGGCTTCCCTTGTTCCGATCCTGCACAACAGAAGTAACTTGTATTATTAATTGGGAGTAATAAAACACTTAAAAAAAAAGATATGTTTATTTTAGAGAGAGACAGAGAGCATGATTTAGAGGGGCAGAGGGGAGGGAGAGAATCTCAAGTAGACTCCACACTGAGTGCAGAGCCCAACTCAGGGCTGGATCTCAACCCTGAGATCCCAACCTGAGCCCAAATCAAGTGTTGGGTGCTTAACTGACTGCACCACCCAGGCACCCTTGGAGTCATCTTATTGCTGCCTTGTTATTTAACATTCAGTCATTTCAATAGGAATGGCTGCTAATTCAGATCTCTATCCCGTTTATCGTTTGCACATGATTTTAAAAAAATGACTATCTTCACCATGTTTAGTTGTTGATTTGGTGTAGTTCTAGACTGACAGGATATTTTGTTTATTTATTTATTTTCTTTCTGACAAGATATTTTAGATTAAAAATATTTTTCAGACTATTAAAGTTGGGAGATATACGTGCCATGAAATTCTTCACTTCCACTGAAATCAATGACATTTTGAAATAAGGGCTAGTACAGAGTTCTGTGACTAAAGATCTTGTGTTTGTTTAAAGCTATTTTTAGTAATTTCCCAGTATAGCAGTTTTATGGTTGTACAATCAACTACAAATTCAACTATATAGTTTATTAGCTCAATTTTTTTTTTCACTTTGACCTGAAGGTAATTGTGGAAGAGTTTTTCAGATATTTTAAAGAAAATAAGATTTACCAAGTATTATAGTTATAATAGACCTCAAATGTTATTACTACTTGATACTATATTATTATTATTATTGAAAGATTTTATTTATTTATTCATGAGAGATATATAGAGAGAGGCAGAGACACAGGCAGAGGGAGAAGCAGGCTTCATGCAGGGAGCCCGATGCAGGACTCCATCCCAGGACTCTGGAATCACACCCTGAGCCGAGAGCAGATGCTCAACTGCGGAGCCACCCAGGTGTCCCAACAGATACTATATTATTATTAAAAAATGATTAGTAATTGTTTCTAATGAATTAATGCTATATGCAACCATTTTTACTTTCTTTCCTAAGGGGCTATAATCCATCTATTTAATATTTTGTAAAATTTAGAAGCTTTTAGTCTTTGGTTCTAGAATCCACCTCTTCTTGTTTTTTGAAAATTCAGAGTACATTTATTTGTTTTCAGTAATGTGAATTCCTTTGCATGCTCTGTGATTACTGGAACTGGTTAAAGATAAAAGTATTTTCATGATGCTATCCTGAAGTTACTTGAATTTTATGCAATATAATTTGTTGAATCTGTAGGCTAATGCTTGTTTAAAACATTGTTTTTGTTTAGCAGATCATCTATTGCCATGGAATGTGGCAGCATTTAAATAGGAAAATATATGAGAAGATACACAGTTGTGACACATAGTAGATGTTTCTGCAAATGCCCCTTCCTTGTTTTTTTTTTATTTGTTAGTATTATACCATCTGTCCAAAACAATTGACCTTTACTTTTTTCTAACAGTTCTATCTGTATACATAAGCCTTAGAAATATTTCTTTCACATATGTGTGTGTGTGTTTTATATATATATATATATGTGTGTGTGTGTGTGTGTGTGTTCTTTAAATATGTGTGTGTGTTATATATATATATATTTTTTTGTTCTGAACTATCTCAGAATTCTTCCCATTTGAATATACGTACTAGAGATATTTTCAGTTAGAATGATGATACATGGTTAATACAAACATGCTTTGTGATTCCATTGTGTAAACTGAGAAGACTCTGACAATGAAATGAAGTATTCTCTAAAAGTTTCTGTTTAATAGTTAGACTGTTTAACCTATGATGTACCTGAAATTCAGCATTATTTTATAATTTATAAAAATTAATTTGTCAAGTACCATATCCTAGGCTAAGTATTTTATATGAGTATTTCATTTAATTCTCAAAACCGTTATGAAATAGGAATTATCCTCATTTTATAGAGGAGGAAAATAGATTTAGGGGTAAAATATCCTACTCAAGGTTATGTAATAGAAGGTGGCAGAACTAGAATTTGAACCAGGTCTGCCTTGAAAATTTATGCTCTTAACTACTTTAAATGAAACCATCTCAGCATCATTTATAACATTGTTCTATTAAAGAAATGTGATTCACAGTATGAGAGTCTATTTATCAGTCTTGGAAATTTGTTACCTTTGGACCTTTCTTCATCTCAGATGTAGCATATCTCTGTTGCTGGGCTAAAGGTGGTTTGGGACTACTTTCCTTCTTTATGTCTTTAGGATTCATTTGCAATTGACAGTTTTGGGAACATGTTTTACTGCCTTACCTTTGACTCTCTTCCTTTTCGTCTGCACAGTGGTCCAGTCTTTCATATGGGGATATTTGTGAGTTAGGTATTTGAAATTTCTGCATTATCAGCATTTATTCTTAAAAGGCAAGAAGATTATACACATTTTTATTTATTAAAAGGTACATACTTTTTCTGCAGAATGTTTTTGAAAATAATTGAACTGTATATATCCGTAACATTTTATTTATTTGTTTATTTATTTATATTTTTATTTTTTAAAAGATTTTATTTATTTATTCATGAGAGACACAGAGAGAGAGGCAGAGACACAGGCAGAGGGAGAAACAGGCTCCTCGCAGGGAGCCTGACGTGGGACTCAATCCTGGGTCTCCAGGATCACACCCCGGGCTGCAGGCAGTGCTAAACTGCAGTGCCACTGAGTCTGCCCGTAACATTTTTTTTTTAAAGATTATTTAACAAAATGTAAAAGATTATAAAAATGAATTATTTAAAATGTTAATTATTCCTATAGGGCAGGAATATATTGCTTATGTTGGAATATTACTATCTTTTTTTGTCTTTTTTACTTTCTGTATTCTCTCCATGTTTTTGTTTTTTACAAGTAAAGGAGAGATATTAAAAAATTCTGTGCTTTGGTTATTACCTTGAAAATATTAAAAGGCAAACTGAATTTTAGTAGAAGGAAAGTTACTAAGTTTTTTTTTAAGTTACTAAATTTAATTACCTTTTGTTTCTTACAGTGAACCTTGCACTTGGACTAGCAGCGAATGATTCGGTAGGTGTTTATTAATAACAATTATTACCTGATTAAAATGTTTTTTAAAGAAATAAAGAGCATATTTTTCATTTACTCAGTCAGAGTCTATATATTGTAGCTCTGGTCACTTGCATTTCTTTAAGGAACTAAAAAATCTGCCATAAGTACTGATTATATTTAATGATAATGATGAAAATGGAAGGAGTCAAAGAATTCAGGCAGTGTCTAAAAGGTAGAGAAGGCAAGGAAATGGATTTCTTTAGTGCTTCCAAAAGATGTGTAATTCTGCCAACACCTTAATTTTAGCTCATTGAAACCCATTTTGGACTTCTATGATAATTTCTTACAGCAGAAGTAGGAAATAAATATGGATGGGAAGTCAGTTATCTTAGTTCTTAAATTTCCAAAAATGTCTTTATTTTGCCTTCGTATTTGATTTGACTTTGATTTCACTAAATGTAGAATTCCAGGTTCAAAATAATTGCATCTCTGAATGTTGTAAACAACATTCCTTTTTATTCTCACATGCTAAATGAAATGTCTGATGCTAGTCTGATTCATATTGCTTTGTAATAACCTGTGTTTTTCCCCTCAAAGCTTTTAGAGTTTTCTTTATTTCTTTTAAGTTTAAAAATGTTGCAAATATGTGTCCAATTGGTGACTTTAAAATTTTTTACCTGCTTGGAAATTAACTAGGCAATATGAAGGTTTGAAATTTCTTCCTTGTTGTGTTTTTCTGTCTCCAGAAAGCTATTAAATGGATATTAACACTTTATGCTTGTTAAATTTTCTCTCATGTTCTCCATCTCCTTGTCTTTGCTGTATGTTTTGGAAGATGTCTTAGACTATTTTCCACACTGCTTTGTTGGGTTTTAGTTGTTATTTAGCCCTTTTGATTTTTATTTTTAAATTCAGAGATTATTAAAAAAATAAAAAGAAAAAAAATAAAAAGAAAAAAAACAAAAAAAAATTCAGAGATTGTATTTTTTCCAGTTTTCTAGAACTCTTATTTTACAAATACTGGAAAAACAATGGCTGTATCATTCATTTAAATATATCTAAGGATGCTAATTAAAATTAATAAAAAATTGTTCCTTTTAGTGATCTCTATTTATTTACCATGGTGGTTCTTATAATGTGGTCTTCAGAGCAGTAGAATCATCATCACCTGGGAACTTGTTAGACATACAAAATCTTGAGCCCATCCTAAACCTACTAAATCAGAAACCATGAGGGTGGAATCCCGCAATCTGTGTGTGTGTGTAAAAATACAACCTATTTTTAATTTAATTTTTTTCCCCTTGTTGTTTCAGTGGGAATTTGGAGCAAAGAGAAATAATCATGTATTTAGTAGGCAACCTTATTGAAGTAAGAGCCAGTAATACATTTTTAAAAATAATTTTTTAAAAATTATACTTAATTACCTTGAAGAAGAGACCTCATTTTCCTTAAAGACGGGAGGAAACAAGGAAGATCCAATGGATGGGAAAGGTAGATACTTTGTAGGTGTGAGGATCTTTTAGATTGGTTATTTCAGCCAAAGCTTTGAATCTTAAGTCAGTGTGAAACACTATGTAATAAGAGATCAAAGGATGAAAAGAATAGTTAAAAAGGGGTTGATTCCCTCATGTTAAATATTGCTAGTCTTCCTAGCTCAGAAACTTTTTTTCATCCTCTTTTTTTTAAATAAATTTATTTTTTATTGGTGTTCAATTTGTCAACATGCAGAATAACACCCAGTGCTCATCCCGTCAAGTGCCCACCTCAGTGCCCACCACCCAGTCACCACCCCCACCCCCACCCCTTCCACTACCCTTAGTTCGTTTCCCAGAGTTAGGAGTCTTTCATGTTCTGTCTCCCTTTCTGATATTTCCCACTTATTTTTTCTCCTTTCCCCTTTATTCCCTTTCACTATTTTTTATATGCCCCAAATGAATGAGACCATATAATGTTTGACCTTCTCTGATTGACTTATTTCACGCAGCATAATACCCTTCAGTTCCATCCATGTAAAAGCAAATGGTGGGTTATTTGTCGTTTCTAATGGCTGAGTAACATTCCATTGTATACATAAACCACATCTTCTTTATCCATTAATCTTTTTTTTTATTTTTTATTTTTTTAAATTTATTTTTATTGGTGTTCAATTTACCAACATACAGAATAACCCCCAGTGCCCGTCACCCATTCACTCCCACCTCCCGCCCTCCTCCCCTTCTACCACCCCTAGTTCGTTTCCCAGAGTTAGGAGTCTTTATGTTCTGTCTCCCTTTCTGATATTTCCCACACATTTCTTCTCCCTTCCCTTATATTCCCTTTCACTATTATTTATATTCCCCAAATGAATGAGACCATATAATGTTTGTCCTTCTCCGATTGACTTACTTCACTCAGCATAATACCCTCCAGTTCCATCCACGTCCAAGCAAATGGTGGGTATTTGTCGTTTCTAATGGCTGAGTAATATTCTATTGTATACATAAACCACATCTTCTTTATCCATTCATCTTTCGATGGACACCAAGGCTCCTTCCACAGTTTGGCTATTGTGGACATTGCTGCTATAAACATCGGGGTGCAGGTGTCCCGGCGTTTCATTGCATCTGTATCTTTGGGGTAAATCCCTAACAGTGCAATTGCTGGGTCGTAGGGCAGGTCTATTTTTAATTCTTTGAGGAACCCCCACACAGTTTTCCAGAGTGGCTGCACCAGTTCGCATTCCCACCAACAGTGTAAGAGGGTTCCCTTTTCTCCGCATCCTCTCCAACATTTGTTGTTTCCTGCCTTGTTAATTTTCCCCATTCTCACTGGTGTGAGGTGGGATCTCATTGTGGTTTTGATTTGTATTTCCCTGATGGCAAGTGATGCAGAGCATTTTCTCATGTGCATGTTGGCCGTGTCTATGTCTTCCTCTGTGAGATTTCTCTTCATGTCTTTTGCCCATTTCATGATTGGATTGTTTGTTTCTTTGGTGTTGAGTTTAATAAGTTCTTTATAGATTTTGGAAACTAGCCCTTTATCTGATATGTTATTTGCAAATATCTTCTCCCATTCTGTAGGTTGTCTTTGAGTTTTGTTGACTGTATCCTTTGCTGTGCAAAAGCTTCTTATCTTGATGAAGTCCCAATAGTTCATTTTGCTTTTGTTTCTTTTGCCTTCGTGGATGTATCTTGCAAGAAGTTACTGTGGCTGAGTTCAAAAAGGGTGTTGCCTGTGTTCTCCTCTAGGATTTTGATGGACTCTTGACTCACATTTAGATCTTTCATCCATTTTGAGTTTATCTTTGTGTATGGTGAAAGGGGGTGGTCTAGTTTCATTCTTCTGCATTTGGATGTCCAATTTTCCCAGCACCATTTATTGAAGAGACTGTCTTTCTTCCAGTGGATAGTCTTTCCTCCTTTATCGAATATTAGGTGACCATAAAGTTCAGGGTCCACTTCTGGGTTCTCTATTCTGTTCCATTGATCTAAGTGTCTGTTTTTGTGCCAGTACCACACTGTCTTGATGACCACAGCTTTGTAGTACAACCTGAAATCTGGCATTGTGATGCCCCCAGATATGGTTTTCTTTTTTAAAATTCCCCTGGCTATTCGAGGTCTTTTCTGATTCCACACAAATCTTAAAATAATTTGTTCTAACTCTCTGAAGAAAGTCCATGGTATTTTGATAGGGCTTGCATTAAACGTGTAAATTGCCCTGGGTAACATTGACATTTTCACAATATTAATTCTGCCAATCTATGAGCATGGAATCTTTTTCCATCTCTTTGTGTCTTCCTCAATTTCTTTCAGAAGTGTTCTATAGTTTTTAGGGTATAGATCTTTTACCTCTTTGGTTAGGTTTATTCCTAGGTATCTTATGCTTTTGGGTGCAATTGTAAATGGGATTGACTCCTTAATTTCTCTTTCTTCAGTCTCATTGTTAGTGTATAGAAATGCCATTGATTTCTGGGCATTGATTTTGTATCCTGCCACGCTACCAAATTGCTGTATGAGTTCTAGTAATCTTGGGGTGGAGGCTTTTGGGTTTTCTATGTAGAGTATCAGGTCATCGGCAAAGAGGGAGAGTTTGACTCCTTTGCCAATTTGAATGCCTTTTATGTCTTTTTGTTGTCTGATTGCTGAGGCTAGGACTTCCAATACTATGTTGAATAGCAGTGGTGAGAGTGGACATCCCTGTCTTGTTCCTGATTTTAGGGGAAAGGCTCCCAGTGCTTCCCTATTGAGAATGATATTTGCTGTGGGCTTTTCGTAGATGGCTTTTAAGATGTCGAGGAATGTTCCCTCTATCCCTACACTCTGAAGAGTTTTGATCAGGAATGGATGCTGTATTTTGTCAAATGCTTTCTCTGCATCTATTGAAAGGATCATATGGTTCTTGTTTTTTCTCTTGCTGATATGATGAAAAACATTGATTGTTTTACGAGTGTTGAACCAGCCTTGCATCCCGGGAATAAATCCTGCTTGGTTATGGTGAATAATCTTCTTAATGTAGTGTTGTATCCTATTGGCTAGTATCTTGTTGAGAATTTTTGCATCCATGTTCATCAGGGATATTGGTCTATAATTCTTCTTTTTGGTGGGGTCTTTGTCTGGTTTTGGAATTAAGGTGATGTTGGCCTCATAGAACGAGTTTGGAAGTATTCCATCTCTTTCTGTCTTTCCAAACAGCTTTAGGAGAATAGGTATGGTTTCTTCTTTAAACGTTTGATAGAATTCCCAGGGAAGCCATCTGGCCCTGGACTCATGTCTTGGGAGGTTTTTGATGACTGCTTCAATTTCCTTCCTGGTTATTGGCCTGTTCAGGTTTTCTGTTTCTTCCTGTTGCAGTTTTGGTAGTTTGTGGTTTTCCAGGAATGCGTCCATTTCTTCTAGATTGCCTAATTTATTGGCGTATAGCTGTTCATAATATGTTTTTAAAATCGTTTGTATTTCCTTGGTGTTGGTAGTGATCTCTCCTTTCTCATTCATGATTTTATTAATTTGAGTCTTCTCTCTCTTCTTTTTAATAAGGTTGGC